TTTTTTTTTTTTTTTTTTTTTTTTTTTTACTATTCATTATTTTATTAAAAATATTATTTTAATTCAAATTCTATCTGATCCTCCTGGCACCAACGTGTCTTTCTTATCACTTTGGCACTATTCATTTTTTTTTTAATTTTTTTTTTAACTATTCACTTTTTACTATTCACTATTTACTATTTACTTTTTACTATTCATTCATTTTTTTTTAAATATTCTAAAATAAATTCTCAAAATTTTAAACTCCTTCCTCTGAAATTATTATAATTATCTATCATAAATTTTAATTTTTCTTGCCATAATTTTATTAATTTTATTTTTATCCTTAAAAATTAAAAATTACTACTATTTATTAAATCTAAATATATTTTTTTTTATGGGTCTTACAATTCAGGTGAGATTCAATATAGATTCAACTTTCTCTTCACTCGTGGGATACGGGGAACCACTACGGCTCCTCTCTTCTCGAGAATTCATACATCCTTTATCAATATATAGACATTTATCTATTGAGTACAGGTTTAGGTTTAGCTTCAATTGAAAAAATGAAGTACCTAATAACGTATATTCACATACCAAAAACTACAAAATTACCTCTTTCATTCTGAGGTGTTTATCATGATACAACTTGTTTAATCTTAATTTATTTTACGACACATTACTTTAGTAATTTTATAATTAAATTAACTCTTTCTAGTGAAAAAAAAACTTTACGTACCACTTTGGTGTAAATAATAATAATAAAAATGTTAAGTGACAAATCTTTAATAAATATTTTGTAAATGTCAAAATTTGTAAATAGATATATATAAATTTTTAAGGAATGAAATTTATTAAAATTAAAAAAGTATATAAATATTAAGGACAAAACCCATCAACCACCACAACGATAACTACTTTCTTTCATTATCTCTTCTCTCAGTATTTTCAATATTTTAAGATGTAATACAACACATTTTCATGTTTTTCTTTTATCAAAGGAAAATATTACACTATATGAATGCTTTCTCTCTCTCGATTATTCCTTCTTTATCATATGAAAATAAATTCTTAAAAATAAATTCTTAAAAATAAATTTTAAATGTAATTTTACAAAATAAACTTATAGAATATGATTTATTTCATTTACATATTAATATTTATTTATTTTATCGCTAACTTATATGAAATTTTTAAAAGAAGAAATTTTCAAAAGAAGTGTTTAATAAGCTAAAGTTATCAAATACATATAAAGTAAAATAAAAGTAAACAATACACATTAAACTCATAATATAATACCATGAAAAAAATAAACACAAACTTAAATAACACATAAAAACTAAGTACGTTTGAATGATACCAATAGTCATTTAAAACATTAATACTTCGAAGACCTTTTATACTGAGCAAAATACTTTTTCCACTAAAGAATTTATACACGTGATTGATTAAAATTATACTTTGAGACATTAAAATAACATTTCTTTCATTTTATAAAAACTAAAATTAATAATTATAAAAAATAAAAATAAAAATAAAAATAAACTAATTTTCTGTATGCATGCATTCAAGTGTTTATTTTATACGCAATCTTTATAGTTACGTGATTTTCAAAACAAGTGAGTAGGGAATTTTTTTTACCGAAGACAAGTTAATTTTTCCTAACATCTACAATCTGTTTTTCATAATCGACTGTGGAGACTAAAAATCACAAGCTATTTTTTGAATTAATTTAGTTAAATCAAGCAAGTAGATTTTTATGGACAAAGTTGGTTTAAAAAAAGGTAAAAATGGTCTAATTTAAATCACATAATTAAAAATATGAAGTTATTATAGCAAATTCAATTGAATTTAAATAAAAATGTATATTGATTAGACGAGTATACAAATATATATTAAAAAAATATGTCCATACACTGATCAGATGGGTTTGGTGGCACACATTAGACGAGTCTATTTATACATTGATTATACCAATCTAATAATATACTTTAAACGAATATGTTCATACATATTAATATACATTTGACGACTTTATTCATTCTATAATTAGACGAGTCTTATAATATACATCACATAAGTTTGTCCATATACTAATTAGACAAGTTTAACACATTAAATGAATGTGTCTATTGATAAAATGAGTATAAGAAAATTGATAAAATGAGTATAAGAAGACGTATTTAAAAAAATTATCAATACATTAATTAAACAAATATAATAATTCACATCACATAGTCTATTCGTAAACAATTAATATAAAAATTAAGGTATTTACTGTATCAATAACATCAAACATAATTTGTTTGAAAATGTCTGAGAACTTTCAAATTATGTAGCTCTCAAATCCCATGTAGATGTGTGGGTCATTCAAATAATTTGCACTATATTTTATATCTTTGGTCCATTCATATATTGAATTGCGAAAACAATACGTGAAGAAGTTGAAAGACAAAAGAAATGAAGTAGGACCAACGTTTTGAAAGAAAAGAAAAGAAAAAAGCAATTTCGGAGGTATCATTTTCTGAGGCACAGTTCAATTCTATGTTTCCTTTGTTGTACATTGTTTGGATTAATAATAACTAGTCGTTTACTCTGTCTTTTCTTCACTAACTTTATGTGATTATGTTAATAGTAATTATTTTTATGTGCTTATGTTTTTTTATAACCTTGAATTGAAGCACAAGCTATGTCATGATAGATTCATTAGGAGTTTTTTCTTCCTCCATTCCCATAATTACCACATCATCCTTTTCTAATAACAAAATGACTGAAATATTTACCCTTGTCACCATTACCATCACCAGTGCTACATCCGACTACATGTTCATTCTCGATCACTATTGTACTCTTTGAGAGAAGGAAGAAGAAAAACTTATCCTTAAAAGCTTATTCCAAAAAATATTGTATTTGTTCCAAAATCTTATTTAGAAAAATTTGTTGTGGAAAACTTGTTCTTGGAAGTCATTTGAGTTACAGAAAGTTAGTTTCAAAAAAATCATTTTAGAAGGTATTCCATAATTTAGTTTCAAGTTTCGAGATTCATTTTATACATGTTTTGAAAGTTCTGTTCTAGAAATTCCATTTCAAAAAGCTTCTTCTAGAAATTTTTCAGAACCGATCCAAAGTCACCTTTAGAAAGGATAAAATAGTCATTTTAAAACTTATGAGGATACAGTTAGAAATTATGAAAGTACAGGAAGAAAAAGAAGAAATACCGTTAAGTTTGTCACAACCAATTGGGTCTGTATGACTGTAGCTGTTTACCTATGCTTTGCAAAATATGAAAACTAAAATTTAAGTCCAATAATATGTTGGATCAGCACAAGAAAGTGTATAATGTAAATCAACGAAACATGAATACTTCTGATTATAACTATTTATTTTACAGTTGCTATGTCTGGCAATTTTATTCTTTTCCCACGTCACATAATTTATTCTTTTCACATACATAAATACTAATGAGATATCAAACCATTCAAAAAATTAACACAACTATAAGGTAACAAGTTAATGAGTCTTTCATATTTATATAGTGTTCTACTTTCTCATTTCTATCCAATATGGGACTTAGATTCACACTTAGATTCTCAACAAAACTCTCCTCAAGAGCGAGTCCCTTCCACATTGGTACACTTCCCCTCCAGCAGAAACATTTCCAACCGGTCTTTCGTATCGTCGTTCATCTTAAAGGGACTCGATATAAGGACCATTAGACTCCATTAGACTCGTCTGAGTTCACCGAAGCTGGCATCATTCCAGATCCCACCAAACTAGATGTCAAACTACAAGTCCAATTGCAACGACACAAACCCTTATGAGATATGAGCTCAACCATACAATGGATTGACATCATTGATACACTCTTCCTAAAGCTCTGATATCACTTTTGGATCTATCAAGGAGGAGGTTTACTGAAAAGACAATAAAATATTATGAATCCAATCATATAAGAAATTGACACTTGTTAAAATAATGTTCAGATGTGCAAAACTCTATTCTTTATTTAATATCACAATAACAAGAAAAGTCCCCCTACTAAACCAATTGACTACGTCAAAATTAGAAAGAAAATTAGCTGTGAAATAATAACGTGTTTATTCACGCCATGACTTTCTATTTTTTCTCATGCCGAAAGAAATTACAAAGAATATTTGATTTGACCCGTTCGAAATTTTAAATTTTTATTGCAGATGTTACTAAAACCAGTTTCAATTTAATTCATATTTGTGTTTACAATTAAAATTCGCTTATAATGCATTAAAAAGATACAATATACAGCACGTTAGCAAAATATATAGGGATCAATCGTAACACTTTATGTATGTCAGTTCGAAATCTTAGTAGAATTTTATATCACAACAAAACATCGCTGCTACAAATTTTATATCAACCTAACATCATGATATTTGATGTTGTTAAAATATAATTTTCCCTGACAACATAATTTACGCTAAATGTGTTAAAATAATCATAATGGGAAACAAAGCACAGTCCACATTTATTGGTGAAGGTGAGAATACAAAAATTAGGTAACCAAAAAGTATTTGTATGGATAAAAGAATATACAGGTAAACTAAGTAAAACGAGAATGAATAAGTAGCAGTCCTAAATCCCCATTAGATATCCAAAACGACAATAGTCAACAACAAATATAAAAAATATAGAGCATTCTGAAGGAGACGCCAACGCATTAACGAATCAGTGTCGCAAATGTTGGAGCACATGTTGATGCCAGAACCAGAAACAGCAGAGGAGCAGAAAACTTGACGGAGTTTGCACCGGACGAACCATTATCTGTGGTGGGCACGTTTGTGGATCCAGTTCCTGCAATTTATTGCCAAATTGAATGGTTAATTAAATTTAAGGTGAACAACTTAGTCCCAAAATATCCTTCATAAACTATAGTTGAATAAACATCGTGTACCTGATGGATTCGAATTCGGAGATTCCGCTGGCGAAGCAGCTGTTGAAAATCACATGTCGCAAATTAATCATAACAAATATATATGAACTAGAAATTAGGATTAGAACTGCACGTTATGACCTTATAAATTATGATTTGATTGTAGTTTTACTTAATCTAGTGAGATGTGAATGGTAATTTAGTTTCATTATTAAGGAGGATCATTCTGAGTAATCTGTGTAAACTTTTTTATCTTACCTTTACATTGAGTGATGGGTGGGGTCTGGACATTGCAAGCAGTAGGCATGGCCAGAGCTTGGGTTTGGTTGATTGTGATTCCCAATGAAGATGCTCCTCCGTTAAGAACTTCACACAGGCACTGTGGCTGTGAGCTCACAATACTGGCAAGCTGAGAGCAGCACCCTGAAGAAGGGCTGGAGGAGTTGCCGGCGATGTAGTTGAGGCACGGTGACAGGCTCACCAGCGCACTTGAGCAACTTGATGATTGTGCCGCAGCACCTGCACACAGTATGCTCATGATCACCAAAACCATACCCATCTTCGTCCTCTCTTGTGCCATTGGAATGCTTAGTTTGATGCAATAGCTGTGGAATCCTTTGAATTCTGAATAAAATTGTTTGTGTTTGGTATGACGGTTTGGGAATGAGAGTTTTTATAGGGATGAAAGGGAAAGAAAGAGACAAAAAAAAGGGTTGGTTATGTGGGTGAACGAACTACTAACTCTGAAATCAAATGGTGTTTCGTGGCACCTCTGTATTATATGCAGTTCAAACACGGAAATTTAATGTTTGGTCTTTATGAATTAGGAAAATTTGGAAAAATCTATGAGACGGTTATACCGTTGAGGACGGTGAACTATTTTGTGGTCTTGTGAGCGTGTCAGTTAAGTTTGACTAATTGAGCATAAAACCTTTGAAACGAACTACGTCTCTGTTTCAATCTTTTGAAATTTCGATCACATAACTTGGGCTTACTGAAATGAATAATATGAACAGAAGAAATTTGTGGGATGAGAACAGCGTCAAGAAACGATGTTATTTCGCATTTTAGACGTAACCGAGCAGTTTCAGAGAAATTGAATTTGGCATTCTCTTCTCTTGCAATTACGATCAGGAAAGTTAAACCTATTATTGACATTAGATATAATAACAAAGTTGTTTTGAATTTTGTAATGTTAATACATATGTTTGTGTATTTGGATGTTAATATTTGATTTTTATGCTTAATATTTGTTGTAATTTGATCTCATTGTTTGATTGTTGGTTTTTGAGATATTAGAAAATGTGTTTTAAATCTAAAACTAAAACTAAATAAGATTTTATCTAGGAATAGAATATAATTTTTTAATAATTTTAAGACTGTTGAACTTAATGCATTATTGATATTGAAACTTGATGAGTTATCATATACTCAAAGTTAATATGAATATGATTTGAATATATTTGTAAATTGATTTTGATATAAATATGAAATTTAATTGATTGTGAATGCATAAAAGTAAAATAGATGAAATATTTTGTTAAACTTTCTCAAATTATTTATAAAAATAAAAATAAAATAATTACTGTAAACTTTATTATCTAATTAAGTTATAAATTATTAAACTTATCAATTGTTACATAGAGTTTCTAAAAAAAGAATAACATTTATCATTTATTACAATCTTACCGACACACTTGTTATTTCATGTTAACACATATATAATTAATGTTTTAGTTCCTTTGATTTTTAAGCAACATTGAAAACCAAAATTCACCTTTTTTTTTTGTTTTAATATTTCTTTGGGTCTTTTTTAGCACCCTTTAATCTTTATTAGATTGATCCTTCTCCCATTTAAACAAATACACGGAAGCAGGTCCTTTGATTGTATTGGATTTGAATGTTAGTGACTATGGCAATGGATTTTCATTGTTGATTATGACTATGTCTTTAATTTTGTATATTTTTAGTTCTTATGTGTATGCTATAAAATGTAAATTGTTTTCACACTTTGTAGTAATCGTCATCTTACTTCTGTTATCCAAGATTGACTATTAAAGTTTTGAACATTTTAGTTAATATAACAATGACATGCATTTTATTTTCATTTGCACGCAGCTTACGATTTTATATTTCAATCGATAGGAAAATTGTTTTATGTATGTTTTTTTTAAGCATACGATTTTTTATATATTTCAAACTTTTACTATGTCATACAATCTAGAATATTTCTTTTTATTTTCTTTTTTAAATGTACAATTTTTCTTGAGATGATTTTATTGAATAAAAAAAATATTAATCGTATGCGTTTCTTTTTGTGGAAATTTTAATTTATTTATTTATGACCATAAAATGATTCTTGGAAATCAAACAAAAATAACAATGAATTGAAGTTAATTGCATACAGTCAATTATTGTGAAAAAAGTTAAACTAAATTTATTTTATTTTAATTTTAACAAATTAAATTTCAGTAAAACTTCGTACTTGAATTATAATTTTAAAAATAAAAAATATATTTTTAAATAAAATACTTATTAGTGATAGTTTATTGTATTTAATCATTTTACCATTTTGTTTCGTTGTCTACAATTATAATGGATATGTTTAGGTGTTGGGTGTTGCTCCCTCCACCACCACACATTTCTCCCTCTACCTCCCCAATTTATTTTAATTCCAATTATATCCTCAAATTAAATTTTTTTATTTTTACTATTTTAATTTATTTCAAACCTAGTTCTCCTACTTTACTCCTACACTCAATCTTTCCATCTCTCATTTTCGTTTAATAATTTATCTTTTACTCTGCAATCAAATCTGTCTTCTCCGTTTCACTTCTCCTCCTCCGTTTCTTTCTTCTTCATTTTCCTTACATTATTAAAATACATTAAAAATATATTCAAAAATAATAAATCAAAACATTTAAATTAAATTATTAAAATATTTCCAAAAAAAAAAAAACTAATAAAAGAAACCCTAAAATAAAAAACGTAACTTTTAAACGGATGTCAAAATCCTTCAACGGATGTCAAAATCCTTCAACGGATGTCAAAATCCTTCAACAGATGTCCGTTGAAGGATTTTGACATCCGTTGAAGGATTTTGACATCCGTTGAAGGATTTTGACATCCGTTGAAGCATTTTGACATCCGTTGAAGGATTTTGACATCCGTTGAAGGATGTCTTAAAGGTTACGTTTTTTATTTTAGGGTTTTATTTGAAGGTTAATTTGAATACATACCTTGAGGAAGCAACACACACTGCACCACTCCACACACTGCACTACGAGAGCGACATTGCACCACGAGAGAGAGAGACTGCTTGATAATTCTTTCCACCACCACCAACCTTTGCAACTTGTAAAAGAAAGAGAGAAAGAAATATAATGTTAAAATGAAAGAAAAATATTTTACTCATAGTGAAATAGGTTGTGAATGGGTAAAATTAAAAAATAACCCTAAAAATAAAATTTTACTTAGGGACAAAATAGTAAATGGGAGGTGGAGGGAGAAAGGTGTGGTGGTGGAGGGAGCAACACCCTTAGGTGTTTGATTTTATTGAAAATTGAAAACTTTGTTTGAATAATATATATTTATTTCATAATTTTTTACAATTTTTTAAAAATTATTAATTACTTTTAGTGGTATTGTTATTAGTACTTATTACTTATAAATTCAGTATTCAATTTTATGAGAAACAGAAAGTTTCCTAAAATTTATTATTTTTCCATATCATATCAGTTTAAACACTGAATGCTCCTGCAATTGTTATACATATCTTTAGATGTTTGATTTTATAGTATACAGCAACTTAGCAAAATATAGGGATCAATGCATCGTAACACTTTGTTTGTCATTTCGAAATCTCAGTAGAATTTTATATCCCAACAAAACATCACTGCTATAAATTTATAACATCAATCTAACATGTTGTGGACGACGAAGATAGCAGAAAAGCACAGTCCACATTTATTGGAGAAGGTGAGAATACAAAATCAGGTAGCAGAAAAGGTTTAGTATTTTAACGGATTAAAGAATTTAGGTAAGCTAAGTAAAACGAGAATGAATAAGTAGATTTTTATACTTTATGAATTCTTTGTTGAGTTTATGAATTATATAGTAGGAAGATGGGAAAACATAATAAATTTTAGAATTTTGTTATGTTTTTTATGTTATTTTTTAATTTAAGAAATTTATGTATATGATTTAGGATAAACTTAAGAATAAATAAAACAGTCTTAGATTTTTTTTATGTTGAATTTTTTTTAGAATTTTATTATGTTTTTTATGTTATTTTTTAATTTAAGGAATTAATGTATATGATTTAGAATAAACTTAAGAAATCTATAAATAATACAGTCTTAGGTTTTTATGTTAAAATTTTTTAATATTCAAATTAAAGAAGATAAGGTGATTTTATTTATAGATTTAAAATAATAAGTTTTATTTATTTTTATAACTAGAGTTATCCTGGTTTAGTTTTATATGTTATTAATTTTAGAGGACGTTAAGATAAATATAAAGATAGTTTATCAATTTTTTTAAGGATGGATAATTTATCAATTGTTTTAAAGATGTAAACTTTTTATTTATGTTGAGTTAATGTGTATTATTTATGCTTTAGAGTATGGTTTGAAAGTAGTTTTTTAAATATTTTAGTTCAAAAATAAATTTTCTTTATTTTGTCATTATTTTTTTATAACGAGTGATTATTTGAATCTTAAACTCTAAATTTGTTTTTCATGGAAAAAATCACTGTGATAATAATTTAACTTTGAATCATAAAAAAATTTAAGTCATTTGAGGTTTTACTTTTATGAATTTATAACTTATTTTTTTTAAATTTTTAATAAACTTTTAAATGATAACAGATTATTTACTATTTTGAGGCTTAAGACAGTAATAAATGACCTTAATAGGAATAAATTACGGTGCTAAGACCCATGACATAAGCAAAACCACAATAGACATCAACAAATAAAAAAATATATGGAGCGTCTGAAGGAGACGCCAACGCATTAACGAATCAGTGTCGCAAATGTTGGAACACATGTTGATGCCAGAACCAGAAACAGCAGAGGAACAGAAAACTTGACGGAATTTGCACCGGAAGAACCATTATCATTATCTGAGGGGGGCACGCTTGCGGGAGACCCCTTTGCGGCGGGCATGTTTCCTGGGGGCATGCTTATGGATCCAGCTCCTGCAATTTATTTCCAAATTGAATGGTTAATTAAATTTAAGGTGAACAACTAGACCCTAAATATCCTTCATAAACTATACTTGAATAAACATCGTGTACCTGGTGCATTTGAATTCGGAGATTCCGCTGGCGAAGCAGCTGTTGAAAATCACACGTCGCAAATTAATCGTAACAAATATATACGAACTAGAAATTAGGATTAGAATTGCACGTCATAACCTTATAAATTACGCTTTGATTGTGTTTTACTTAATCTAGCGAGATGTGAATGGTAATTTAGTTTGATAATTAAGGAGGATCATTCTGAGTAATCTGTGTAAACTTACCATTGCACCGAGAGATGGGTGGGGTTTTGACATTGCAAGCAGTAGGCAAGGTCAGAGCTTTGGTTTGGTTGATTGGGACTCCCAATGAAGCTGCTCCTCCGTTAAGAACTTCACACAGGCACCGTGGCT